TTTTTATGAACATCAGAATATTGTCAACAGTTGATTGATCGGTCATGGAGCATCAGTTCCGTCGAGATTACAGATACTTTTTGCTGATGATTACCAAATAGCATGAAGCCTAAGTCAAAGGTTTCCTGTCGATTATCTCCAACCACTATCTCATACTAATTATGAGATATTCACTGAAGTTACTCAAATAACCTCGTTTGAATGATTTTTATTTACATTGTTGAAATCTGTTATTTCTGAAAGAGTGAATTTATCTAAACAGGTTGTCTATTCAAATGTCTCTAAATATAACTCTAAAATATGGTCAAGTTAAATAGTCAAGTATTTCTGAATACCTTCCGTATCCCATGTATGGTGATTAATATGTGTTGGGTGCGATATTGTTTTCTTGAAATAATGAAGATGACTTTATAACTACCTAAAAGAAATACGAGCTACTATTTACCTAGTTACTTCAATCAGTGAACATGTGGTCTTGTCAGAAGTGAAAAAAATTAGGATGTCTGAGATTTTTATGTTCCACGAATGTATTTACTTTTAAAAGGATTCAAAGTTTACTGGAACTAGTCTCACATAATAGGTGCATTTATTTCAAACATTCGACTATGAACAATCATGTAAGCAAAGACAGGTAGATCCTGCATGAAGATGTAATATCAAACAACTCAGGTAACTTAGATAGGTTTACATCAATATAATGAACAAGATTGCGAAATAGCCAAGTTATGTTGGAAAGCCATGAGATACTTGATAAGAGTAAGACGACAGGTCTAATGGAAAGATTTGCATAAACAAGGACAGATTGAAATAAATTATGGTGAAACTGATATAATATTATTTGACTATCAAGGTTCAAGCTCGTGATGGTTTGGTTCGATCCTATATCCTGTCGATTAAAAGCTTGGCGTCTTAAGAGTAAAGCAAGAGCTCATGTTTTTCATGTTTTAAACATTAGATAACAATATACAGATAAAAAGGTCAACACATTGAAAGAATTTAAACAAAACCAAGCACTATAATCCAATACATACTTTATTCTTATTTTTCTTAATGTTGTTTTAAAGCTCAAGTGGTTCTCATTTTAAGCATGTATCTAGTCCCTCGAATGATAATATTGTCTCAAATAAACATCAGATAGAATAGAACAATAAAACTTATTTCTTGGGATAATTTTATAGTTCTGTATTTACAATTTAACTCCACCTGTAGCCCTCACATGGAATCCTGAAGGTCAAAGAAGAAGAGGAAGACCAAAGAACACATTACGCCGAGAAATGGAGACAAATATGAGAAGAATGAGCAACAACTGGATAGAACTAGGAAAGAAGGCCCAGGACAGAGTGGGTTGGAGAATGCTGGTAGGCGGCCTATGCTCCATAGAGAGTAGCAGGCGTAAGTAAGTAAGTAAGTAAGTATTTACAGTTTGTTTATTCAGTTTCTTATATCGAATTAAAATTTTTTGCCAGTTTTCTTACATAAAACTATTTTAGCTAAATGTTTCATGATACTTTGATAATGTTATAGTTGAGTTTATGAGTCAATTAAAGCTAGACAACCATGGAAAACCTAAAAGCACTGGATGGTCGTTTCGCCTTAGTATAGGATTCCTCAGCAGTGAGCATCCACGATCACGCACGTGGGATTCGAACCCAGGACCTATTGTTCTCGCGCACGAATGTGAATATGAATATAGAAAGGTTGTATGTAAGTATACACTTACAGAAGTGAGTTTAAATTCTGATATTTCAATCAAATTGAGAGCAATTAAAAGCAGTTAAACATATTCAAACATGACGAATTGAAAAAATCAATGCTATAAACTCAATGGAGATATGAAGTTCTAAGAAGTTGTCATTTTAACTGAGCAGCTTTCAGTAATTGTTTTCATTAAAGTAACCAAATGAGGTTGATTATAAAAAAGCTAGTCAACATTGGTTTATAAGGAAGAAGTATATATTCATTTATATACCTGAAACATATATTGACATTTAAAATGTTAGTTTTATCTGAAGAGATAGATCATGACTAGCAGTGGAATCTGTGGTGCTTGTTTAATCCTTTTTCGAACTTGTCTGCTCAATTTACCTGCAATACAGAGTTGATTTTCACTCTGGGACGTGAACCTAGTGCCTTTCGCTCCACATTATTCACTTAGGTATTGAATCCATATTTCCACTGCTTTGTACAGTGGGACGAAGTTTAATTCATCTGTATTGGTTGTTTGTATTTTCCAATTGATGTTTTGGACAGTAACTGATCAGTCTCTTTCTGGAATATGTACATCCTATACTGATGCCCTCGATTCAAACAACAAATACAAATGAGCTAGTATTATCTTTTAAAATTTACGTAATTTTGCTACGTTTTGATATATTTATCATATTGTATTTCTACTTTCTCACAGATTGGTTAAAAAGAAGTTATGCTATGTAAAAGGTGATTGCTTTTGTAATTAAGTTTATACACATTAAAAACTCCCAAAATATACACCAATAAAATCTAATCCAAACAAACACTATCATATCAGTTTTGAAGATTGAGTATGAAGTGACACATTGGATTGGTATTTATTAATGAAGTGCTTCCAGGTTTTCCATGGTGGTCTAGATTCAATTGACTCATGATTTCAACTATATAAAATTACTAAAACCCTCTTCTGAAAAAAGAATCCTTCGATTTTTTTGTCATACTTTTCGATGGATATAAGCTTACTTTGAATTTTACTTCAATAGAGAAGCCGTTTTGAAATGTCATTGAGTATAAAAGATTATTCGTAAATACTGTTGGTAAATACTGTTGTTATTTCACATCTTCATAGTACTTGTCATGAGTTTGTACCCACGAACCAACCCGGAAGCGTCATTGTTTTGAACTTAAGCATTAGATCTACAAAAGCTGAAGATCATGAATCTAATTCCTGGTGAGTCCGATGTGCACACTGATAAGAAGTTCTATAATGGGACCGGACAGCTGTTCATCGTTCCCTGGTCTTCAATCTTATCGCTAATGAGACCAACCTCTGAAGAATACAATCTAGAAATAGCATCAATCCAAAAAATGCTCCTTCACGCGAACCATAAATCTTTTATCTTAAATGAATGGAAATTACTTAATTAGGCTACAATATCAGTTGAAACCTCTTAGAATATGCTGTTTCAGTTTATAATTCTGTTTTTTTGCTTTACAGGATCCTATCAATATTTATTGTGTTCGGATGACCAAAACATGACTTCAAGAGTTTGCCAGTGAAACTACAGTTGTATTGTCATCCTTACTAACTTAAAGTATGGCGTTAACGAAATGCCAATCGTCTTTGAACTGGCCAAACTTTCGTTAATAATTTTCATGATAATATTTAACCAAAGTAAACTTTATAAATTCTTTAATCAAAAAAGAAAATTTCATGGTTTCCCTCGCTACCAACAGACACATTAACATATATGACGTCGAAAAGATGAGTTCTATGAAACTGTCAGGAAGAACTGCTTAGTCAGAGAGCGATTCTAGCTATTGAAACATTCAATGTTATTCAGTATTCTTAGTTTGAAATATTTATAGCTGATTTGGTCTTTCAATAAACCTTAATCTAAATTTTGTTACTAGATACTCGGAATCGTAAGTAACCAAATATTTTTAGAGGTTCTGTGGTTGTTTACATGACTGTACATACTGTACACATTGAGTCTAATTCTGTAAAACTTCCTTTTTAGAATAATATAGCAGATTACAATGCTGCTTTCAATTAGATCTTCATCAAGTTTTACTCTAATACACAGTATTACTTATATGTGTATCTGAAGAATATTAAACCAGTCAACTCAATTAATGATTTAATTAAAACGATGGATATAGATTATATATCTAATCGTAATTAGTAAACCTACCAGTCGGTAGTAAGATGGCATGTATGTCAGTAAATCTAAGAATATTAAAATCTGGACAACATCGGAAGTAAGTCGACACTTTAAAAAATGGATTTCATAAAATGGTAGTAAGTATTATAGATGTATATGAACGATCAATTTAACTATAGAATTAGTAAGGAAGTCATATGTATGGGGTCAATAGAAAGAAGCAAACAAACAAAAAAGTGTAAAAAATCGCTAAAATCAGTTATTAATTCTTATCTAGGCATAGAATAGACAAAAGTGTTACAAATTTCTTTTGATTAAAGAGACTAGATTCATTAGCGCTGATTCCTATAGCTTATACTATGTGTACGAAGTAAGATGGAACCATATTTGGAAAGCTTATTGGTATATATTAAGCTAATCTGAATGCTTCATTTACATTCAAGTCATCCTGACCTATTTAAAATTAATAAGTGAATTAATAGTAAACAAGAATACAACGAATCATTTCTTCGAATAAGGTTCTTTTTTTTCCTAAGACATGCAACTACACCTTAGATTTGTATCATAGTTGTAACATCAATGAAATCATATTTCAATCTTTTGTGAATCTACTTATTCAGTGTTAATATTTCATTCAACAATAAAACATTCCTTTGACTTCAATAAAAAGGGATCGAAAAATTTGTTTAATCAATTTTTCAAATAACAATTCTCCTTCTATTAACCTGTCTGCCTATCACTTACAAGTATATACACATTCATACATACAATCATAGATACATAGCCCACCATATATATATATATATATATATATATATATATATATATATATATATATCGATATGTAAACACAGTATTATATATATAGAGAGAGACTGATGGTAATTCGAGTCAAATACCTTTCCCTTTTATTTATTTTTTCTGAATCCTAACATGAACACTGACAATATGATTTAATGGAATGTTATAAAAATGGTTACACATTTCAATTGATTACATAATAATAATGGATTACACATTGTTAGAGAATAATAATAATACTGATGTAATATAAATTAACATTACCATTTTAAGATCAGATTATCTAATTAATTATTAATGAGTGCTCATATGTATGTATTCTTCAACTATTGAATGACTTCAATAATGAATTCATTAAATTATACAAATCATATCGTTTTAGGAAATATTTTATTCTCAACATTATATCTATCAATGTCTATATTAAATTTATTGGATACTTATTACGTAATATCAGCAAATTCAATACAATTTATAAATAATAATAATAATAATAATAATAATAATAATGATGAAATTACATATGAACAACAATCAATCAATAAGATAAATGTAAATGGGAACAAATTTGAGAATGGGAACAAACTTATAAATGGGAACATTTTATTCATAACTAATTTTAATTATGAACATACCTTAGTTACATATTATACAGAAATATTTGGTGGTATTTTAAATTTTATTTCAGCTAGCTTATATTTAACTACACAGTTACATAGTTTATTATTAGTAAATAATAATAATAATAATAATTCAAAGGAGAAAAAATTGAAATCTCGTCCAAGAATCCCATTTCCTCATTATTATTTATATACTGATGAACAAATTATAATTGTTCAACAATATTTTGAATTTTCAAGTTTACTTGCTATTATTTCTGGTATATTCGGTTGTTTTATGATAATGACAACAACAATTTTAAGAACTTACAAAATATTTGCAAATCATTTAAAAAAATATTTAATTACTACCATTTTAAATTTAAATTTAAATTTAAAATGGTTTGTTGATATGACAACTATTAAAATACAACAAATAAATCAAATATTATTAATATTTATATTATTGATTATTAATATTTATGCTTTATGTTTATCTAGTAAAATAAAATGTAAATATTATAAAAATAATTTAAATAATAAAAATAATGAAAATAATAATTTAAAAGAAAAAAAATTAATAATCAATAAAAAAAATGATCTAAAATTTTGTAAACAATTAATTCAATTAATTTTATTATTTTCTATTATATTAATAATTTTAGGTAATTTAATTATTATTATAAATATTTTTGAATTATTTCAAATAAATAATTATTATTTATTTAATAATTATTTATTAAATAAATTAAAATTATATAAAATTTTTAATTTTTTTAATGGTTTATTAATTATATTCATTGGATTTTTATCTATTTTATCATTAAAATATTTTACTATACCATTTAAAAATATTTTAAAACAATATGAAATTTTAAATAAATCATATAAATTAAAAAATATAATAATTAAACATTTTAATTGTCCATTATATTTAATTATTTTATTATTATGTTTTATATCTATACCAATACATATATATTATCATATTAATAATAAATTAAATTATTTATTATTTAATATAAATCAATTCAATAATCAATTCAATAATCAATTTAATAATTCAATCAATTTATTTCATTATGGATATATATTAAATTATTTTTCAAATTTTTTATCATTTTTAATATTGATTTTATTATTATGTTGTACATTTATTGATTTATATATACGTAATAAATTTCAATTAAATTTAAAATTGAATTCATTTAATCAATTACTATTAAATAGTCCGATCAATACTAATATTGAACAATTAATAGAAAAAGAAAAATTAAAAAATTATTATAATAATTATATGAGTAATATCATATATCCTGAATTGAAAATATCTCCTATATCCTATTCATATTTACCTTCACATAATAATTTAACATTTAAGGAAAATGATACATTAAATATGAGAAAATATAAAATTAAAAGAATGAATCAAAGATTTTCAGAACCATGTCAACAAATTGAAGAGATCAAATGTGTAGAATATTCAGCTTTACAAAAATCTGATACTACTACTACTACTACTACTAATAATAATAATATTAATGAAACTAGACCTATTCCCTATTTAACATCTAATATTCATCCATCTAATTGTATCAATCCAGAATATCTTGAATTAGATACCATTGAATCTGATATTAAATCATCTAAACCATCTAAAGGTTATGAAATAGATATGAATCCAAATTATTTAAGTCATATGGTTTATAAATGTTCAATGGATCCACCACAATTAATTTATCATAAATATAATGAAACAAATCAATTGACTTATAATTATCCAATAGAACCATGTGAATATATGAGTTGTGATTTATCATCATCACAACAACAAGCACATGTAACATTAATTCATCCTCATCATCATCATCATCATCATCATCATCCTGAAATGAATATTGGAATGAATAATTTAAGTAATTTAACATCTAGTGAATTAATAAAATTATTTACGGATACAACAGGAGAAAATTTTATTACATCCGTTTGATAACCGTCCGACAATCTATCTATCTATCTATATCTTTATCTACCTACCTATCTAGCTAATCTATCTATCTATCTAACTATCTAATAATCTATCTATCTATCTATCAATATGAAGAAAGTTTCAGGGAATATAAATTCAAATAGCATATTTACAGTTTATTTTAATGGTATCTAACAGTCAGTTTTGTTTTCTATGCTATTTATAAAAGTTATTCCTATAACATTTTATTGATTTATGTATTATTCTTCTTCTTCTGTGTTTTATTGTTTATTGATTATTAATAATAATCATATTATTATTGATATTGCTAATTTGTACTGGGATACTAGGCAAATATTCTGATTAAAACACGGAGTTTTGTTAAAGAATCATTCCTTGAACTTTTAAACTAATATTTAATCAATAACACAGTAAAGGAATGGTAAAAAGTGCAGTCCAATTAGTTTATATTCCAAACGTCCACCATTGTAGAGACATACTGAGCATCTAAAGACAGTGAGTAATATCTAATTTGTTGAGGTTATATAAGAGTATGTTAGAAAGAAGATCAAACAATTGACATCCTTATAACATTTTAGTAAAGATTTATAATAGTACTAGTACTACTACATGATGAATTTATTGTCCATTTTGCATACAATATACCTGAATTCGGGCTCATCATCCACAATAGAAAATAGAATAGTGTTCAGTGAAAACGAAAATTTTGGAAAAAAAAAGATTTCATGGTCTACACTGTCTATTCATAAGTAGGAGTTAAACGAAAAAACCATTAATTAGTATAAAGTAGGAATGCTTCATATAATATAATAGGGGAAGTCGATTTAGGCATAAAACAAACGAGTGATACATGATCTTCATTCTAGTGGGTACATAACCGAAAACACACGAATATTTTTATAAAAGATATTATGTTTGATATTTGTTTACATCAATAACTTTTGGCTAGACAGCCATTGAGAACCTGGGAGGAATGAATAACTGTATTTATAACAAGTACTACCATAACTTCTGTTATTGTACTGTTCATAATTCATAACCTCGAAGTTAGAAAATCATAGCTGAAATAAGATACATTTTGAGTACTATCTTATGTATTTCCACCATTATCAGTAAATCTTATAGAACGACTAACCTGCATTTTAATATATTAGTAAAGCAGTGATATAAAGTATATAAGAAGAATTATAACTACGATACAGAATAGTACTTATGAATATGAATAGTTGGTAAACAATGTTTAGTTTTTCTTTACTAATACCCATGGTCACTGAAATCTAATATGACCATCACAAATTACTGAACTGCATAGTATAATATCATACTTCATTTACAGAGGATAGTAAACTATAAGAAAAGATAGATAGTGGCTAGCAATGGAATCAAGGACACACTTTTCGTCCTATTCGGGACTCATCAGCTGAATGTACCTACACCTGAGAGTTGATGTTCACTCTGGTTACTCGAACCTAGTACCGTTCGCTTCAAAGGCCATCGCATTATCCACTTAGCAACTGAGTTCTGACTGATCAATTTACAGTCCTAAACATCAATGAAAAGATTCAAGTAAACAATACCAAGTGAATTAAATAGTCAACTATGTTTACCAAACAATATTGCACTGAATACTATTAAACAGTTCAGGTATAACTAAATACTTTCAGATTTCTATTCAGTAGAATAAACATTTAGTCAAACATTCAACTTATAAACAATTTGGGTTTTTATTTGATATAACCATAAGGATTGGCTGATTTTATACACTTCTGTCTAAAAAGATGATAAAAATAATATTTCAATTGAAACTAAGGCCTCCGAAGTCTGAATTCAACCTTATTCTACACAATTTTATGAGTAGGAGCCATAGGAACATGGTGAAGCTTAGTAGGCCGTTCTGGAGAAGAGTGCTACATTAAAGCACGGCACAAATACCGGGGCTGGATAGTTGTTTTTGCACTGCTAATGCAGAATCATTACATAACACTTTCATTCTTTTTTGGGCAGACTCATTTTTTAACATCTTTTTGGACCCTCAATAGGTATGCAATTACTCTTTGTAGCATTAGTAATCATTTGTGGGTATAGGTAGAGTGGTTGATTAGGCCGATCTCCACCACCCATATTACCGCTCACGTTAGTATATGGGATGAATGTCATGATCCAGGAGGCACGACTAGGACGTGTGAGTCGGATTTTGCCTCCCAATTTTATGAGTAATTCTCACCATATTTCCTAGTATGTTACGATTCAAATAAAATAAAATACTACACCCTTAACAATAGTATCTAACTACAAGTCTAAAGTCAGCTATCATGAAAACTGATCTACCATTTATTAAATACTTAACAATCATTTTCATACTTAAGTTATAATCTAATGTCTAACTATAACTATGATTCATTTTGTATTAGTTGTTTTAATCTCCTCATTAACGTTTAAGGCTACAGTAGATCAGTGATTAGATTCAAAACATGATAATCGTTGTCTTGACACATTAACTAAATGGATAACGTGATGACGTTTGAAGTGAACGGTACTGATTTCGAGTCTCAGAGTAACCAGTAACTTTGGGAATCAGTTACATCCAGTTGATGAGTGCTAAATACGAGGAGACGAAGGTCCTAGATTCCAATAATAGCTATCATTCATTACTTCATACAAAGTGAAACTGTTTTAATTTCAACATTATCGAATTATGAATAGATGAGAATTTTCCAGACAGAAACTATTGAATAGTTTGATTAAAAAGAGATAAAAGGAAACCTTTTTTAACTAATTCACTAATCATATAAAGGTATTTTTACAGGAAATGAATGTCATTTAGAGAAAAGAACAAAATTTACATAAGGTGATAATAGAGATTCAATATGATACATCTAGTTACTAAGTTAAATTAATTTTCTAAACACTACAATGAATATTATAATAGAATTTGAGTTGTTAAAAGTCTTCTTACTCAGGAGATTAGTCTATTCTGTATGGCAGATGTAAATATGTTCTTAACTTGCAGAATGTTATTTATGAATTCAAAGTCATACTGAACTTTAACACTTACTTGTAAGATTCCATTAATAATATAAGATAAAAGGGTACGATTAAACTATACTGCCGACCTTTGAACGAATCTTAAATGACCTTGAGAAATATTAGCCAATCAGAAGACAGTTAGTATACAGTAAAAATATATTATACAAAACCAAAGAATTAAAGTGGAAACACTTCTTTTACATGGGTCAAAAACTTCTCAAGGTCAGATATAGGTTCAGAAGTTCTAAAATCATAGTGCATATGGTACAGGAACACATCCATATGGCTCCATAGTAGTCGACCTCTGAAACCATGATAAGGTCTCAAAAATTCTTTTAGCCTCGACCACATAGCTTCAATAATGTTAGTATATTGGTATGGTTTACGGGTTAAAGTTAAGGTTTAGGTGTAGGGTTTAAGGTTATGGGTGAGACTATAAGTTATGGACAACCTTTGAGCGACGCTAGAGTGACTCTGAGAGTGTCAACATAATAACTAAGACCAAATGAGGGTTATAAACCTGTGTGAAGAATTCAAATTATGATTTACAGTTCATGATTAAGGTTAGGAATTATACTTAGGGTTTTCATCACGAACTGACATCAGCTATAATGCCAAAACTCTATTTATCCAAATGGACAATTGAATTTCGCGCCAAAATCTTATGATCACTTCTATCGTAGACGCTAAATTATCACGTCTTCCCTAAAATCCGCTGTAAACCGACCGTACGTAAGCATCAGGTACCGAACTTAGCGCCGTGACCTTGAAAACCCGCGAAAGCTTCTGATTAGCTCGGCAGTATAGTTTAATCCTACCGATAAAAGTTATTATTGATGATTCGCCTCTATTATATGCTTCTCCTAGAGCACGGATTTATCTCCGAATGCCCTGGTACGGCCGAGAGTTGGGAGGGGCCACCTTCCTCGAAATGCTCTCATACGGCCACGCGCATACAGCCTCTGCCAGCGAAGCCCCACTAACTGTCTTTTTATGGCGCGACTGTTGTTTACGAAGTTGAGAGGACGAAAAGCGAATATCCGGCACTTCAACCGGGTTGATGGACACGGATAGCCCACCTAGGGGAGTTGGACTGAATCTCCTCACGATGTTCCATTGCTTTTTGGATAAGACCTTCAGTTCAAAGGCTTGTGGTGTGGCCTCCTAAGAAAATCAAGTGCTTCGGTCCGGGCATCCAGTTAGTATTCCAGCCCTCACACATATCGAATGATTTATGTGGTGAAAATCTATTTGGTGTTCCCTTGTGCCGATGTTTATGTGTTTACATAAATAAATAAACTCTACTATACCAATCAATTTCAAAACTATGTGTATCTATCACCTTTCATAAAAATTGTTTCTTTTGAGAAATGCCGAGTGAAATGTAATTAATGCCTTAAACCCAACTGTTAAATCTTTATAATACAAATCCTGATCATACTTTTAAAGCTACCACAGAAGAACTTAGAAAAGTTTGGCATTAATAAGGACAGATTGTTTCATGTATCTTATCAAAATTTAGATTTTATAACCCTGAAAACAATGTCTATTCTTACTATAGATATACCGTAGTTTGATAATGTGTTTTATATACCTTATTAACAATTTGAAACATCAAGTTGATGTAAAGTACAAAATTTACAAACGTTGTATATTCTTCAGATAAAACCCAGTGGTTTTCATAAAGATAATGATGTTTAATGCAAAAGACGTGTTTTATTAGGTAGACATGATCAAATATTTCAGTTTCATGCTGTTGTTTATTAGTGTTTCACTTCAATCAGAGGGCATGTTGAAAGAAGGAAAACAGATATTAAAATTCAGGGAGATATCTTACAAAGGTAAAGTGAAGATTCTCAGATAATTTCACAGAGAATACACAATAAATGAGTTCACATACAAAGGGGAACATGAAGATAGAACCGCTCATTAATCTACTGAATTCTATATGGAAAACAAAGGCATATAAATGGACCTGGCTAAGTACTTTACTTGTACTGGACAGTACATAGTTCCTCCAAATTTTGCACCTCCCAAGTCAATCAGCTGTAGAAAATGATCATATACTCTTTAAATATAACTAAAACTAACTGAATGTTCAAGTACAATTAGTATCTAACGTAAAGTGAAAGGATTTTTGTTTGACCGACCATGATATTTTGCTGAACTAATAAGCTTATTTTTATATATAGTTGAAATAATGGGTCAATTGAAGCTAGACCACCATGGAAAACCTGAAAGCACTGGATGTTTCATCCTATTGTGGGACTCCTAAGAAGTACGCATCCACGATCCCGCCTCCCGAGATTCGAACTCAGGACCTATCAGTTTCGCGCGCTTGCAA